TGCCGTAAATTGTCAGAAATTGATGTGGGCCTCCCTTGGCAGTTGTCCCCCCATGACCCCCCTCCTCCTATTTCAAGGGGAGGCTTTGACATGTAAATGAAAATGCTGTGAGCTAAACAAATGCAAATCAGGGTCGCAGAGGGAGTTTTTGCCCAGGTGACATTTTTTTAAAAGGTAAGAAAATCTCTGGTACAAATAGATCAGGCTCAGTAGCCTAATTATAGACTCTTACATTTTGGCTTGAATTGATTTATTTAATTCAAATATGCTAGATTACTGTGTACAACATTAGCAATGGCAAATGTTATGTAAAAAAGATACACAAAATAACTTTAGTTTTAATCAAGGTAAAATGAGCATTCCATGCAAACAACATTTGAATCAGCATGAGGGGTCTGCAGAGATCAGTCTCCTAGAGCTCAACTACAGTGCATAGTGGCAGGACTACAGTGACCTTCTCTTTGGTCTTACTTAAATGCACAGAGGATGTATTAACCACACATCTTCTAGCAATGCGCTCAACTGGCAGAAATGATGCTGTATGACGTATCTGTTCCCTGCAAGCCCCAAACTTCTATTGGCTTTCCATAAAAATGTCTGTCCGGGTGGAGATGAAGCCAGGAAACTTGTGCAAGAACATGTTTAAATGCCGTACCCTTTGACACAACATTAACAACTATAAACTGCTTTATAATGGCTGGTCGTAGTTCTGCTAGAGGGTCAAGGACCCTCAAAACTGTTAGTGTTTCCACACCACTTAGCATGAACATATGCTGACCTTTACGCTCTGCATCTATCGATTGAGTAAGTTACATTCATATATGTTACCCGTTTACATGTCATGGCAAAACATTCAACCTCAGTGACACAAGGGTACATGTGATGATACATTGTCAACATTGCATGTCTGTCAGACTCAAGAGTGTCTGGTGGAATGGAGAAAGAGGCACCACTGTACAGTTTTCTAGGGAAAGTCGTTCACTGCTTTACATAAAGCATATCAGCTGTTTCAAAGTCCCAACCATTTGTTTTCCTAAAATACTGGTCCTTCCGTATAACAATAACCTCGTATGTGATTGGAGGACCCTCAGACTCCTCATCCAATCACGTGTGAGGTCATAGGCATGACTCAGACAGCAGTACTTGCAGGACGAGCATACAAACGGACACGTGTGTGTTACTATATTCAGAAGAACTGTATCTCCAGTTCCTTTGTTTGGTTTTTGCTGGTTCGTGAATAATGGCTGGACGACGTCGCGCGTTCAACTCGCCTTCAACTCGCCTTCAACTCCTCTCCGCGGTCACCAACTTTCGGCCAGTCCGCAGACAGACGAGAAGAAGCTGCTGAAAGCTCTCAGTGGATCGTCTCGTCAACTCCAACAACAAACTGCCGATATCAACGAGCGGTTCGCTCCACTGGAGCGTTCGGGACTCTGCGGGTTTCTGTCCATGGAGGAGAGGAACCGACTCAAAGAAGAGGAGACGGGCGCACAATCCCACGATAGCGGTAAGAATACGTTCGATGACTGCAAGCTAAGCTAAAAATAGCGTAGCCTCAAGCTAAGCTAAGAGTAGCCTAGTAGCCTTACAAGTGAGCAGAAACTGCTTTATTAAAGTGTGTTTTCTTTGCCGTGTCGTTTACAGGAAGCGGTGCGCCGTCTTCACAACTCCGAGACGAACTACAGGCGCTACGAACCGGAGCAAGGGTCAGATTTAAAGATGCTTTCATTCTGCGCTATAAGGAAATATATACGTATAGATACCGATCATAACTGTACATTTTGTTTTCACAGACTAATCTCGCCTCATAATGAGGCGGTGACCTCGTATTTGCTCCGGGAAAAGTCCAGATTTAGACGACGTCATTGTCTGTAAGTGACACCGTTTACTGTTTCTCCTTCCTTGTTAAATGTTACTGTGACTTGCGTTTGATTTTTTTTGTATTCATACCACACTCATTTAATTGTTTTCCAGCCGCCTGTGAGACGTATTGTGAGACGGGACGCAGGAGCTTCAGACACTCAATGCGGAGTTCAGCGTGGAGTCGAGCGAGAAGAAAGAGGGTCAGAGTTTATTTGCTGACTTGTTTCAGGTGCATTGATCGATGTGTTGTGTCCGTACGCATCGCATCGTACAGTACTGATTCATTGTTGTTTTTACAGCTGCTGGAATCGAGACAAAGTGCGCTGGCTGATGACGAGGTGGAACGCTGGAAATCCGCCACCGTAGAGCTCACGTCAGACGGAGGGAACGGCGTTGTTGGCGGGGTCTCGGGTGGATTGTACGGTCGCCACACACACGAGGCGCCTGCACAACAGACCTGCCTCGGAAAACACGCCGCCAGTGACGGTCTACAACCCAGAGGAGGCAAACGGACAGTTTACTGAGCTGTAGTTTTTAAACCGCCGTTACCCAAGTGCGGGCAGATCCTCACTTTGTATGTAGTTGTTGTTTGTGTGTTGTTAATAAAGCTCTTTCTTTGCATAAACATGTGGCAAATGTTCATTTTCTCTATAAATTCATTGATGTCCTGGTTGGTATCCTAATAATAGCGTAGTAGCCTACATAGGATAACCATGAAATGAATATACATCATAATATGAATATATAAATAAAATGAGGCGGGTGACCAATAGCGACAGATCTGCCAACCAATCACGAGTGATTGAAAGTTGTTTTTATCCAATCATGAACAAGGAAACTCAAGCCTGGTCTGCCCACGTGTGGTTTTGCTGCCAATCACGAGTGATTATATTTGTTAGTAAGTTGTGGTTTCATCCAATAAGGAGTAAGGATATTCAAGCCCGCTCGGCTCGGCCACCCGCGGTTTCGCTGCATTCATATGCTAATTCGGGCCATTCGCACCTCCGCCAGCTCTCCACCTACGTCATGGTTCGTTTCCGACAATTTGTGGCACAGACAAACGCGACGTGCGCGGGTTGCAAATTGTCGGAAATTAGGGAGATTTCCGGGCGTTTACGGGGACGAAAATCTCACTTTTCATGCAGTGACACCTCACACCTGCCCAAGATGTTGAGACACTTCTTGTCGAGTGACCCTTCACTCCAGGCAGCAAAACGGAGTCACTTGACCTGTATGCATAGGCATTTGCCTTCACTATCCATTGGGAAAGGCGCTGCTGCTTTGAAAGAGCGCAGCCCTTCTTAGACTCACCGCAGGTGACAAAATCGTTTGGAGGCAGCAGCTTCAACGTAAGCCCTATGGGCCCGTACCCGGCACAGGAGTCTTAACTTCCCCTCCCCAGGTGGAGGGTCAAACTGTGCCAGCTGGATAGGTTGTTTGGCTTGTGAGCGAGCCAGCACCTTTGGGGCAAAAAGCTGTGTCTAGAACACAAGGTAACACGCAAGCCTTCCAAGTACCACCTCAAGCATTTTGCTCACCGGCCGACGGCCCAATCACGCTGCTGTGTCATAAGGCCTGGAGAGCATCATTTGTGACACGACACTGGAGTGGAGGGCATCTGGCATCTGGCCTTATGGTCTCCCCGGGGTAAACTATGAGGGACGCACATCGGATAGCCTGGGGAAGGGACTTTATGTCTGTCTGTTCACAAGTGATTGTTGTCATAAAATACTTAACCTGCGCTTGTGCAAGGAGCAGTGTTAATTTTGGCAGCGATTTTTGATTTAGTCTTTAGACGAAAAATGCATATTAGTTTTAGTCACATTTAGTCATTTTAATCCTTCTTAGTTTTAGTCGACGAAAACTAGACTAAATGTAATTAGTTTTAGTCACATTTAACAGCCATATTAAACTCCTTTTCTTCCCTTCTCAGGCCCAGGGACCCCCTGTGTTGTGTCTACAGCTGCATAATAGTCCAGCTTGCAGTACTTGGTTGTCCATTAGATGTCCCTCCTAGGACAGGTCTATAGGAGGGTCGACAAACTTTTTGACTCGCGGCCACAAGGGGTTGTAAAATGTGACGGAGGAGCCGGGCCAAGAACAAATGGTTGAAGTGTTTGTGTGAGCTGATATGAATGACATGTGAGACATCATTACATGAAAGGATTTGGATTTTAACAAATAGCAAAGCATTTATTTGCAATGCAGTTTAACAAATTGGCAAAGGTGTAACAACTTCATGAGGACCAGGGATCTACAACACTTTGTTGTCTTTGTCTGTTTACTTGCAATGCTTTTGACATGGACACCGGAAACTTCATGCTCCTTTATTGTTTCCACTGTGAAATTGCTCGTCCCAACAAAAGAGACCTTAACTTCCTACAATTGGTGCAATACATTATTTTCTTGGCTGCATCATAAAGCAGCCGTTCTAAACTGGACCCCCACTTTTCATTCAACAGTCCTTTCTTTCTCTTTGTTTATGTTTTGGTTTCATGACCAGTTCTTCTCTCTTGTGTCCTGCGGGTTTTCCTCCACCTGCTCTGTGCCGCCACGTCCTTCACCTGCACTGCTCAGTTCTATCAAAAGGATCCACCTGTCACGTGTGTGGCGCCTCTATGTTGCTTAGTAACGAACGTACGGTGGCCGAGACGGTTTAACACCGTCTTCTCACGATGTGCGTGTAAACTATAGTTGAAATGCGCGTGTCTCACGGTCAATGTGTGAGGCTTCAGAACCTGCAATGACTTACGTTAGACGTGTTAACAGCCATGAGCTGTTAAACGGCTCTTCATGTTTCTGTGAAGCAGCGCGGCTTCAGCCCGCTAACAGGCAGCTAAACCGAGACAGCGGAGCTAAACTAACGAAGCCACGTTCAAACTCGCCGAAGCGTAAAATAGTCGTCGCGGTCCGTAGTCGGTGCGCAAGAACCACCGCTGCACCGCTGCGAGCGCGCTTTCTGGGTTCGCGGATGACGTCATCATGACGCGTTAACATCCGCGTACTTTGCCGGTCTGTTGTCTGTTGCGTGCGTGCGAATTTAGGGGGGAAAAGTATTGTGACTTCGTCAACCACCAACATGTTTGTTTCGTCTCGTTAACGAAAGTTAGAATAGATTTAGTCATAGTTTTTATTTTTTAAGATCGTTTTCGTCACGTCTTAGTCATGGAAAAAAGGTTCGTTAACGAAAAATTTTCGTCATAGTTTTTGTCGACGAAATTAACACTGGCGAGAAGGGAGGTATCCAGTGTGAAACACTGCCTCTGGCGTTCAGTAAGGATGACATAGAACAGCCTCTGGACTTTAGGGATGTTTCCAGGGGAATAGAAATGTATTCTAACTCAGCCCATGTCATCAATCCAAAGCCAATTACAACCATGCATCTCAAAGTATCAGTGCTTCAGCCTTGAGATTTTAAGAGGGGTTCTCAGCAAGTCAACCTCTTTCACCTAGCAGTCCATCGCTAACTCTCTAATACTACTCTATGCAATTTCACACGCTACCACATTGCGTTCCTGTGTTACACCCTGACTACTAGTCACAGAATTTCTGGAGACGGGCTGTTGGACAGACATTGTCATTCTCATGTCATCTCATTGACATATATTCATTTCCCGTCATCCGCGTGATGCCACTGGTTACCATGCAACAGGTAACTCTCTACAAGTTGTCATTCCTAACCTGACAGTGGCTTGTTCAGGGTGGCCATGTTTGATGCAGTATAGTGTAGTAATTATAGGCTATGGAATGTGAATGTGTTTAAAGTGAGGATGATTCAAATATAACATGGATTTCATGTCACATACGGAAAGCCACACAAGACGTTTCAGAGGAGCCGCCATTTAGCTTCCTTTGAGCAACTACACAAGCCAAAAGTAAAATAGTCTGCCAGTCTAAGCAGGACCCTCGACATTGATAGATGTCTCAGTGGCCACGAAACAGGGTTGGAGGAGGCGCTCAGGGTCCTGGGGGCTGGTTGTCACAATCCAGTTTGCCCCTCAGGAAGGGTTTCTTCAAGTCTTGAGGACCAGCGGGCGCACTCAAAGGGCTTGGTCCTGGTCTTTGTGGACTCAATGTAGAGCCTAGAAGACAAAAAATTGAGTTTTGGACCACACAGACCGGCTGTGATGAAGGATGACATCTTTAGGCTGTCCGAGATGCAGCTCACCACTAATGGACCTGTTAGTATTATCTCAGGATCCTCTTTACATTAGCTGTGTAAACGTAAAAAAGGTCAAACCAACTTCAAACATATGGCAGAAAAATGAATTACGTGCATTTCCAACACCTGGTTGGGAATGAATAAACTCGGCCACAGTATGGATTGATTAGAGATTGGGGTTGTAGGCAACGCAAGTTACAATACAGCTCGTACTGATATTCACTTGGGATCCTTGAAGATTTCCCAACTTGTGGGTCTTTGTGAAGAGACACAAACATTAGAAACAGCAGGTCAGTCGTGCTAGTTACATTTTTGCGAAATAAGCATTTTATTCCGACACATTAAATGGAAACATTGCAACTGTGTTTATTTGAAAGGCAGTGTAGTCCAAAACATCTCACTGTACAGTGGATGCATTTGAGCTTAGCTGCAAATGCTTATTAACGCCTTTGTTCTGTCCTTGTATGTTATAATACCTTACGCTGTATATTAATGGTAGTGTTCCCTTAACTTCTGTTATAATTAGGGTTTAGCACAACGCCCATTATATTTTGTTCTAGTTTTTTGCGGGCTATAATGTTTATAAACAAGACAAAAATATACAATCAACACTTCTGAGGAGAAACAAATACTTGTGTGGGTGCACCTGGGATGTGTTGCGCTTTTAAATGTGAGTTTATTGGCCAAATATTCCGGTTTCAGCGTAAGCAAATTTCCAGCTGCGTCGATACGGAGACGCAGTTGTTACCTGTTGCTTGGAGCTCCAGCCCATTGTCCAAACGTCTGGGTGCAGTGGTGATGATCAAACAGCAGAGGATACACTGAGAGACGACGAGGGTAAGAACACCCGCGGCTGCTACGGAGAGAGCAACAAGAGCTCCGAAACTGTGAAACAGAGGAAAAGAGAGACGGATTATTACAGATTCCTGCCTCTCAGCATGTTGCACAACAGAAGGGAAATATGATACAGTTCATGCATGAATGGTTCCAGCTGTGTGGATTGAACAGATATTGATTAGATGTGTTTTCACACCCACTACATTTTTTATATATTTTAGTCCATGTGAGATGCATGTAATAGTAAAATATGTTGTAACATTTGTCTTATGCTAAACCCGTGTTTCAAGTGTCTGTATTTGACCGTGATGTGCAAAAGCAGAAAGTATTAAGGTTTCCACATGCGGCTGTGTCTGAAGAAGGGAGTTAACTTGCTCTCACAGGCGCTCGAACAAAGGAACAGCGTGTGTTACCCTCATCTTCACCTGGGTTCTTATCTCAACCTGATTTGCAGATTCTCGTGCCCGGCACTGGCCTTCACATGTGTATAAAGACTCAGCGTTTTTACTGCTCGGAGACGACCTCCTGCTTGCAAGCAATAGTTAGAGCCAGATATCTGTGGAGAATTGCTTATGTAATCTTTTTCTCTTCTGAATAAATGTTAACTTTTTGACTTTAATTGATCAACGTGTTGCGATTCTTCTCATCAACCGACTCGGGGGCATCGGAGATCCCAACATCCATGATGACTTTTGATAAATGATATATGGTCTTGTACTTTTTATTGCACCTTTTCTATTAAAAATGTACCTAAAATTCAAGCTTTGCAGTTTTATGCCTCAGCCAACTTGTTATGTTGCCCTTTACCATCATGTCCGTCCAAAATGCCATCACTCTTCTTGTGAGGTGATTTGTTATCTCGATTGCTCTCTCTATTTGATTTTATTTTATTTTTCAGCAACATGTCAATTTCAAACTTAACATTAGACAGCCAAATAAATTGAGAGGGAGGCTTCTCCCACTGTCTCAATTTAGTAATGGGGGTACAGTCATATAGCACCTATATCTTCATTCATCTTCATTTATTTTGTTGCATGCTGGTATTAACTTTTATTTATATAGGAACCAATTAACTACTGGTATAAAAATAGAAAATAAATTAAAAAATAGGTCAAGGATTTTTTACGCAGTATATTTTGTAGTGAAATAATTCAATGTGTTGGACCAGCAAGATCTGCTAATTAACCGACCTTTGCATGGGCGGAAAATAAATATCTATATTCATTTATTAGTGTCACAGATGTGTTGGGACACACACATTAATTCTAAATAAACAACATTCCGAACACAACATTACATGCAGAGTGCATTACTCAGCATGTAATTCTTGTACCTTTAAAATACAATTCTGCACATTCATTCCTTTTGCACAAACCTCTGCTATTCTGTGCTTTGAAAGAGAAATTCATACCTCTGATATACGTGGATCCTTCACACGCGTTTTAATCCGAGAAAACTCACATTCTTAGTGTGTAACACTATTTGGGTCAGAATGCCTGTTCACATCATACACATCTGGAGAGCATATGAGAAGTTCACACATTCTGACACGGAAAAAGGATGCGTTTATCTCCTCACCTTAACCACCACATGTATCCATACTCGTAGGGGAAGAAGCTGTTGGGATCATCACAACAATACTTCAAGTTGTTGAACCCGCAGCAGAAAAGTGCCGCAGCGTCACTGTCCGCTTTGGGACACGTGAAGCCCGCCACGAACACGCCGTCCTCACCGTAGTAACTTCCACACACGGAGCTCATATCAGCAGACAGACCAGATCACCAACGACAGAGGGACTGATCCTGGAGGCGCTGCGGACCTGCTGTATATCTCTCTCTCTCTCTCTCTCTCTCTCTCTCTCTCTCTCTCTCTCTCTCTCTCTCTCTCTCTCTCTCTCTCTGGTAGACCAATTGTATCGGAAAAAGGTTCATTCATTCAATGCATCGCAAACTCTATGATGACCTCTGCTGTTGAAAACTTGTAGTGCAAGAGAACCACTGAGTGCCACTGAGTGCCACTGAGTGCCATTGCGTGCCAGTGGCACAAGGAGGATCTCGGCCCTGCTGATATTTGGCCCAGTCTCTGTGGGTTGAACATGATTATGAAAAGTTGAACCAATAAATCTAATAAATACATGGATTGCTATATGAATAAAACTTGTTTTTCAGGTTTGAATTGTGTCCTTGTTTGTGTATTTCAATTCTCTGTACATTGGAAAGAAGTGTAACAAACACTTATCTATGTCTTTCTGCACCTTTGTGCATGTATGTTTGTGATCATACTAGCAGAAGAATTAATGGAATATATATATATATATATATATATATATATATATATATATATATATATATATATGTCTTATATGTAAGCAATATCATTTAAAATACCAGAAAGTGCTTCCTACTGCATGTGCAGTTCATGGCAGTCATAGGGACTTATGTGAATTGTTTGAATCTGGAATGTGGGAAGTGATTGTGCTTTTGGACAGGTTTGTTATGACATGATATTGAGGTGCTTGTGGACACATGAGATGGGGCATGAAATTATTATTGATTTTTATTGAGGAACACAATTTTCTCCACAGTATTGGGGTTGAGTCGGTTTCTTTTTGAAGAAACTATTTCCCCAGCTTTAGAAAAAACGCGCTCACACGGCACGGATGAGGCAGGAATGCACAAAAGATTACGTGACAACACAAATAGATGTGGGTACACATGTTTGTGTTTGACCCAATATTTTAGCGGGTCTTCACTTCGTGGAATGTTTGGCTCTGCCAAATATCTGGTGGTCTCCACAGTGGCATCGGCTGACACACTTCTCACCGTCCTCTTCTCAAATACTTGTGTATCTAAAAGATCCCACAGTCCTGAAATGGTATAGGAATGCATTAAGATGTATATTATACATATAAACAATACATTGACAGTAGGTTGTTACCTGAGGAATCAGACGCTGAAGGTGCATCCTCTGAAGTTGATGGTGTTTCATCATGTGAGGTTGCAGGAGATTGTTGTCTTATCACAGTGGCTGTTTCAGCAATAAGTTTTTTTATGGCATTTTGCTGGTTTGTGGGGTTGCAAAACCCCATCGTTTTGAAACAAGGATCCAGGAGCGTGGCCAGAGCATGCTGTCCTGCCAATTCATAATTCCCAAGTTTCTCGTGCATTAGGCCTAGTAAATGCTTTCCCAAAATTCTGGCCGTGTCATCCGTCAGCTGCCTTTGTTTTGCTGCAATTGTGTGCCGCAACATCTTGACCATGGGTATTATTTTTGAACCAGACACATGCTTCTCTGCAGAAAGCTCGACTGTTGCTTCTTTGAGCGGGGCCAAAAGCGCAATGCACTGACCAATACTGGCGTACTGGTTTGAGGTAAGTGGTGAAATATCTGTTTGCAGATAGTCCAAGGCTGCACCTACTGGCTCTCTCTGCTCATACAGCCTTTGCAACATGTCCAGGGTGCTGTTCCATCTCGTTTCCACCTCTTGAATGAGTTTTGCACATGGAGCACCCATTTGCTTCTGAAGACAGAGAAGGCGCTCTCTAGCCACAGTGCTGGTTCTGAAGTGTGTGGCAATATCCCTCGCCTTAGTGCGGACCTCCTCCAGACCAGGTGTTAATTTCATTGATTTCTTTACAACTAAATTCAATGCGTGTGCAATGCAGTGGCTGTGCCTGATCTCCATCATGGTACTACACAAGGTCATGTTAGAGGCCCCATCTGTTGTTAGGCACATAACTTTGGATTTGGGGATTCCCCATTCCTCCATTATGGACCCTTTCACAGAGGCAATATTTGAAGCCGTGTGCCTCTCCCCAAACTTGGCAACTGCCAGCAAAACAGTAGCCAACATGTCCCCTTCATCCACAAAATGGCAAGTGAAGGCCAGGTACGAGTCCATGTGGATGGATGTCCACATATCAGAGGTCAAAGCCGCAGCAGTAGCCTTCTGGACCTTTTCTTTGGCCTTCTGCTTCTCCTCGTGATACTTGGCTTCCACCATAGATTTCAAGGTCTGCCTTGAAGGAAGGACATAGGTGGGGTCCAAAAGAGACACCAAGGCCCTAAAGCCTTGATCTTCCACAACCTAAACAGCAAAAGAAATGTTACTATGTGTTTTACACAAATACCTCAATATATGTGGCAAATAAATATCATACCTTGAAGGGCTGCGAATCCTTGACAATCATGTTCACCAGTGCCTCGTCAATCTTGGCCTTCCTATCACCTACATTACAACAGGCCATGGATAGTTTTAATGAGTAAATGCTGGAATAAAATGAATGTCTAAACATATATTACATATTTATAACATTAAGATTACATGTAGAAGGGACCTACTGAATTAGAGGAATTGTACCCACCATGGATGCTTGCTGCAGCTTGACCAGCCTCATGCTTGGCACGAAAGTGCCTCAGCATGGATGAGGTGTTATTGTTATAATCCAATTGCTGATGGCAAACCAAACATTGGACCTGACAACAGAATTTACAAAAGCATGTTTTTCACGAATAAAATGAAGGCACATGTATAGTTCAACTACAAAACCCAAATAAAAATAAACATCCATAATTACACAATACAAATAACAGACTTTGCCTGCCTATTACAAACCTTGTTAGAGGAAATCAAATTGAATTGCTTCCACATCTCGGAGCGACCTCTCTTTGCCACAGGTTCCATTGTAAATTTGCGCTTTGCTACTAATACAACTACAACAACACTGACTTTGACTGTATCAAACAGACAAGCCCCGACCCTGTTTCGCGCCCATTTGAATCAATTCGAAGCGGTCACGTGACTGTGCGCCGGAACGAAGCTTCGGACGTCACTGATGACGTCACTGAGCCAGAGCGAAGCTTCGGACGTCACTGATCACGTGATCAGCAGCGAACGAACCGAGCACCGATACAATTGCTTCGCCCTGCACTGGTTCATATTTCGACACAAGCTTCGAAGCAGGAGGGTGGGAGGTAACAACACTAGTGTGCGGAGCGTGAGGTGAATTGTTTGGATTGTGTTTTCTATCTGTTATTTCGTTTATTTTTCGGTGTGGTTTCTGGTGTGTGTTGTGGGGTGAATGCGTGTTGGTGTGTATGTGTGACTTTTCTTTCCTTTTATGTGTTTTTGTCTGCGTTTGTAGCCGGTCGGCATGTCGGACCTCACAGGGCTGACGCGGAAGCCCGGCGTGAAGCTCGCGCCGGGCTTCGCGTGCTCCGTGGAGGACTGCGGTCTGGCCGTGGGGGGGTTGGTGGGTCACGGGAGCGTCAAGTCCGCCGCGTGGATGAACCGCGCGGTGGTCATTTTTGTGGACAGCGTGGAGAAGGCGCGCGAGGTGGTGGCGAGTCGTCATCAGGGTGACGGTAGCGAACGTTTCGCCGTTCGTCCCTGACGGAGTGCTGCTGGAGGAGCTGGTTAAACACGGGAAGGTGGTGCCCCCGCTTAAAAAGCTGTCCTCGGGGTGCAAGTCGCCTTTAATGAGGCAGGTGGTGTCTCATAGGAGGCACATGGTCCTCACCAAACCCCAGGCCCTCGACCTGGTGATTAAGGTGAGGATCGAGGGGTTTGACTACGCCATGTTCGCCACATCGGACGATGGGAGGTGTTTCCGTTGCGGTGGAGAGGGACACCTGGCGAGGGGTTGCCCGGAGAGGAACCCCTCATCCACTCCGCTGGATGTGGGGGCGAGTGTGGGAGGGAGTGAGGTCAGCCGGTCGGTCAGGTGGATGAGGGGGTGACTGTAGGGACGGGTGAGGGGGTGAGTGTGGCGATGGGTGAGGCCCAACCGGTCGCTGAGGGGGTGAGTGTGGCGACGGGTGAGGGTCAGCCGGGCGGGCAGGTGGATGAGGAGGAGAGTGTGGGATTGGGTGAGTTCGGGGGGGCACTTGTTGGTGGGGGCGGTTTCCCAGGTGGAATCTCGGACAGCGAGGAGGATATGGAGGAGGGGGGGGTCTTTAAGGTACCTCACCTGAAGAGGAAGACGAGGGCCAGCAAGGGAGACTCTCAGGCAAAGGGGGGGCAGTGAGCAGAGGGGAGGTGGGGAGTCCTCTTCGGGGTGGGGCTCTGGCACCAGTATCGCCTCAGGTGGGACGGTCACCAGCAGGTACGGGACTGGGCAGGTGAAGGAGTTCCTGCTGGCCACCAAGAACGAGAGAGGAGTGAAGCTGGAGGACTAAAATCTCTTTCTCTGCATGCTGGGTGTGTGTGTGTGTGTGTGTGTGTTTGTGAGTCAGTGATCACATGGCGTTTTTTTCTAACTTTTGTTGTCTTGTCCCTAGTTTGTGTGTATTAATTTCATGTGGTTTGTTAGTTGGGTTTCACACTAAGTTTGTTTTAATCTTTTTGGGGGGAGTTTGGTTTGTTTATTGGGTTTTTTTTGTCTCGCCGGTCGGTAAATGAGGAAAATCTGTCCCGCCTCACGCGAAAGCACGGCATCAAGATCAGCGGCGGCTCTCCGTGCAGCGTGGAGGACATCGGGCTGTGGGGGAAATAGTCGCTCGGATGAACGGGGCCGGAGTCATTTTTCTGGACCAGGTGGGGAAGGTGAACCGAGTCGTCGAGGCGGGCCTCACGGTGAATGACATGTTCGTTCAGGTTGCCACTGACACAACCGGCCAGGAACGCAAGCCTAGAAAAATGGGTCGACACACGCAAGCACGCTAGGAGGTGTGAAAAGGCACGCAAGAGACACGCAAGGGGATCCTGCGTCTGCCTTTACTTGCGTCGCTCTGAAAACGCAGAAGCATAAACTAGGCTTTAGTTTGTGCGTGTTTGTAGCCGATCGGTGCGCTACATGACGGACTTCACGGGGCTGACGCGGAAGCACGGCGTGAAGCTCGCCGCATGGATGAACCG